ACAATGAATGAAAATCAAACTTTTCTACAAACTTTAATTAAAATAAAAAATTGCATTAAAAAAATCTAGGTAAACAAGCTTTTGTTTCAGTTTTTTTAAAAAACACAAAACACAACCAAAATTCAGATGTTTGTAAGGCAGTACAGATATTAATAACCGAGAAATATCAGAGAGGAGACTCAAGTAAAACTCAGCAACAAACACATAGACTTGTGATGGAAGGCCATAGCTAGACTTTCATTTCTCAGCATGATTTGAATGCTTATTTTGAAAATATTCATTTGATCTAATGTGATTAATGTGTTAGCAAATAGTTTGACTATATCTCAAATATCATCAGCGAAAAAGTATTAACTCACTCACTCATCACTATCAAGTTAGAACTGACTCATAGCTGACCCTCCAGCGGGTTTTTGGAGGCTGTAAATCACACTTGAGGAGTCTTATCTTTCTTCCTCAAAACAGGAAGTGGATTCAAACTGCCATTGAGTTGGCAGTTCTAGTAAAAAAACAAAACAAACAAAAAAACCCAAACAAACACCACCACCTAACTAAATGGAAAGGCTTAAAATGATAAAAAATGCTCAAATGTATGTCAAGCATTCACCAGCCATCTAGCCCACTGTAGTCATCAGCCACATTCACTAATATCTGATGTCAAATTTCATTTCAGGATTACTCCTAAATTATCTCGGGACTTTAGTTTTATATGGTTAGGAGATAAAATCATCTAAAAGATCTAGTTTGAATTATTTCTGTATGCCAGCTTGTATAAAATAAAATGGGGCTATTCTTTCTATATATTTTAGGAAAATCGATCAGAATAAGGCTATAGGTTCTGACCACCACATCAGTGAAGCTAATTCTGTCACTTCCTTTCAAGCACTTACAAGAGCTGTAAGAGACTCTAGGAAATTGCTGGTCAGTTACCTAGACAAACAGTTTTTGCCACTGAGTCATTCCAGAGGGTTTTCAAAGGTTGAACATTACATGGGAGACTATCTTTCTCTCACAGAAGTTAGTGGATTCAAATCACCTCCTTTAGGGTAAGTAGAGCAACTCCTTATCCATTACTTCTTGTTATAATGTGACATCAAAGCAAATTGAGTACAACTCATAGCAACCCTATAAACAACAGATAAAAATTTTGACCTATGTTGTATCACCTTATCATCTCTGATTTGAGCCCATTGCTAAAATCACTGTGTCAGTTCATCTCATTGAGGGTCTTCCTCTCTTTTGCTGACCATACACCTTTCCAAACATGATGTGTTTTTCCATGAACTGGCCCTTTTTAACAATATGCTCAAAATATGTGAGACGAAACATCATCCTTGCCTTCATGGAGTACCCTGGCTGCATTTTCTCCAAAATGTGCTTGTTCTTTTGACAGGCCATGGGATAGTCAGTACTTTCTTTCTACACCACAACTCAAAGTCATCAATTCTTCTTCTGTCATCCTTCACTGTCCAACTTTTAGATGCATAGCTAGTAATTCAAAAGACAATAGCTTGAAACAGGTTCATATTAATCTTTAAACTGACATCATTGCTCCATAACACCTTAGAGAGGTCCTTAACAGCAGATTTACCCAACACATCACATTTTCTTGGACTGCTGGTGCCAAGGGTGTTGACTGTAGAGCCAAGCAAAATAAAATTGTTAGCAGCTTCAACCTTCTCCCCATCTATCCTGATGTTGCCTACATCAGTGGTGAGAATTTTTTTCTTTTTGCTGTTGAGATGTACTCCATATTGAAAGTTGTAGTCTTTGC